CACCACCACCACCACCACCACCACCACCACCACCACCAACGATGAAATTGTGAGCTATACGGGGTGGTTTCACAGAACCGCAGATTCAATCATATTTTTTGTTCAAGCCGTTGTAATGTAACGCGAACGAGAGAATCGAAGAATTCAGCGATACAACACTAACCAAGTTACGTCATTGGGTATATAAGGCTAAAAGCCAAACCCGAACACCGCACCGATAGTCAAGTCAAGTTAAGCTTCATGCACCCAGTAATGTGGATTTTCAGCAATTTCGACAAGTTACGGTGAAGAAAACGTTTAACACAAAAAAATATGAAACTTTTACCGAGTGAAAAATAAATGAGAGTGATGAAAAAAATAAGGTAATGATAGTCTCTCGATTTGCTAAAACAGCAGAACTAAATGCCGGGTTCGAAGCAAAGAACGCCATTGGTGTCATGCCTGTCCCAACTAGTGTGGTCCACCATTTCAATCATTAAGGCTTAGGTTGCCGGTTATCATGGGTGAGCTTTGAGTGGTTATAAATATTGTTTGTTACAAAATCCCGTTCAATAAAAAAGCATGAGCTTTGACAACTCGTCAGAAGATTGCACGATTTTATTACATGCAAAAAAGTTACATGCAATGTCACTCTAGTTTTTCATTTAGGGCGTGCAATCAAAGGTTAAAAGTGCAGAAACCTACAGCGGCACGAGTGTTTTTTAAGCCTCGGATTTGGTGTTTCAGTAGAGTGAAAGCGAAGTGTGTGAGAACAACCCTAACAAAAAACTACTCACCGACAGCTTTGGTTTTCCCTTCACGAAAAATCAGTCGTAAACCGGGGTACAAGTATTCAGGGTATTTGATAAAACGAAATCGAACTAGATCCTTGTCACCGGTGCGCAGACGTTCGCAAACATTCAGGGATAAAATGGTGGCCGTTTGACGCACAGGACCCGCATGTACCATAGCCTGGTATCCGACCGAAATGGTCGTAGGGTGATGCAATATGAGCACCTCGGCTGTGAATTCCAGACAAGCACGTGGTTGCAGTTCCGGGGCCAGAAGTACAATGCCCTACAAGCGAATGAGATTAAAGAGACAATAAATCAGTTATAAATACAGAAAACATTTTTCTCTGGAAGATCATCATGATAATTCCTCTTCTATAAAAGTGCAGGTTACTTAGAGTGTGAGCATTACTTCGTGATGCGAAGTTTTGTGAGGTGGCATGATCGGAACGAGACAAATCACAGTCGTTGAGCTGCCTGCGCAACCCAGGAGCCATGCACATTGTGGTGCGGTGGATTAGTGCACTGGCGTGACAAGGCTGGGGCAGATGGTTCGAATCTGCACACGGTGACGCGTGCCGGCACGCGACCGGTGGGACACATAGGCGATGGCTGTTTTAGCATATACAACAAACAATGAAAAACGTATATCAAATGACACTACTACATGGATGATAGTAGTAAAAAGCAGTTTGTGACATGAAAGTCATCAGTTGTGTTACCCTGATATGGAACTTTGGAAGAGTTCGATACTAAAATACTAATAGCATGTTACTTTCATCCATTTGTATATGAGTATTTTGGTTATGTAAGTTCTTCTATCGTTCGTTAGTTTCGTCCACTGATCAAAGTACGGCAAGAACGAAAAAGACGTTCAGGTTTGACGGTTGCACAGTCGTACTTGTAAGTCAAGCCCTGAACACGCATCAAATTCACATGCGCGTAGCAGCTCAAAAAATAGCAACTATACTACTATTCTCCCAGGAGTTCTGGATTCAATTTCCACCAAATTGCCAGAACAGAAAAACGCGTAGATCGACTGTGCTTTGGATACCCTAGATCTGTTTATCCCAAAAATGTCATAATTGAAACCATTCAGAGTGATTCGAGACCTCGTCATTTATCAATGTGCGACTTCCTCCTACTGTTTATGGCAAAGCCTATCGAGCGAAACTACTGTGGAATCATTTCTTTTAGCAGCCTAGTATCCCATTCAGCTAAAAAAGAGCTTACACGCACTGAAGACCAGACTAGTCGGCACCAAATGGGTTTTGACGTTGGGAAACGTGATAATAAACGCATGACTGGAGTCAGGGTTCATCATTGATTTGCGGATGTAGATGTTCTCGTTGTTCTGATATTAAGGTCTTGGATATCCCATACACATAGTACGCGATCAAAAGTCGTTAAGCTTGACCTAAAGCAAACGGAGAACGGCTTAAAATGACAGTTACACAATCTTTAGCAGCTGGCAGATTAATTGATTATAAGAACTGTTGAAAACCAAACGAGAACAGAACGGATCCTTCCTGATCCAAACTCTATCCATCACGATCCAGTTTCGTTTGAACTGTTTCTGCGTCGTATTTTGTTATTGCTAGCCTCGGAGTAATACTAATAACAGGAGAGGAAAAGGAACAGACGAATGCTCAGTCAGAACGTGGTAATACGCATCAAATGCACGAACACTGAAAATTTGGCGGGGAAATGCACTGTCCGAATTCTAAGTGAGCTTTGCGTAGTAGCAGTAAAATTTGGATAGCACGTTCGTTAAATAGCCCTAAAACCGCCCCGATTGTATGAAATCTAAACCCATCGGAGAAGAGGAAAGAAGGCTGAATTAAATATGAGAATAGATTTATTCTGATGCATATTGAACAACGCGTCAGGTGCAAGTGTGTGTATGTGTCAAATGTTAACGCCGGTGAACATAGTTGGGGAATGAACAAAACCGTTATACGAACGTGCATGCGTGTAAAAACTTAGAGGACCAAAAACCCACTACAAAAATACAACGAAGCATTTTAATTTAAAGCGCGAAAATGACAAGATAAACAAAACAGCCTCTCCGAGCTGCACCGGAGTCCGTTTGTTTAGCACTGAAATGTGAAGGACTATGAGGAGCACAAGTGTGCATCCCTCCGGACGCGCAAAACTAGTCCATATGGACAAAGATGATATCAACAGTGAGAATGTCAGCAAAAGCGGATGTTGTGGAAGAGACTGGGGAGTAGTGTGTGTGTGTGTGAGAGAGAGAGAGGGAATTTGTGTACCAAAGCTGGATCAAGTTTTGGTGAAAAAGAAACAGTGATAGGAACGAGCAGTCATTAAGCCTAGCTGGATCAGAACTGAATCCGTTCAGTGTTGCTATACACTATCAAGCGGTAGGATCATTTAACCAAAGTTGATCAATCGAAATGGTTCGGTTACCGAGACAGTGGAGAAAAACAGCTGTGATTAGAATCATTTCATAATTCGAGACGATGAAGCAGTTGGTAGTGCAAAGATGTCATGGCGAACAAATTAGTGACATCCTCTTTATCTGAATAGTTGAGGGCTTTATAGGTTTTAATAAATTTTCACTTTCAGCTTTCAATAACGGTACTTGACGTGGTCCTAAGACATTAAACAAAAGAGGTTAATGATCCCTAAAGGTTTCTCCCATTCGTACTGGTAAACAACTCAGCAATCGATAGGCGACCATAACAACCTTAATCGGTTTTGACGGTTGAGTGATTGTATGCTCTCTCTCTCATTGAGGGAAGGAGGGCAATTATCACACTAATACCTCATGAGTCATGGATACTGCGTTATCTAATGGACATTGACCCCCCACTGGCTTACACAAGAGAAACCAAAATCCAATGTCACACCAGCCAAGATAATTCAATGTCAAGTCTGCCTGTCATGCCCGAAATCGCCTTGCGATGATCACATAACAATACAGTCACGATCAAAGCTATCAAAGCGAATATGCGTACAACACATACCGGACAGAACGAAAGAGGTCGTCACTAAATCGAATCCGGCAATTACACAACCGAACCGAGAGCGTACACCCGTGTCATAGTTCGGATGTGGCACTACTCCGCTCGACTACAGCCTCATTCTGTCCGTCAAACAATCGCGTGCAGACCCAGCAACCAAAACTGGTTGACTGCGTTTGGGAGTAGTACGTCTTCAGATGTATTATTTCTGTACCGATGCATCAGTATCCCTCGAAACCCCAAGTTATTCAGACATACAGAGACGTTTAGCAAATAAGAACCAGAACTATGATCATTTTGTACCGTCTAAATGACAAAATTTGCGGGCCTATTAAGAAAAGAAACGAGCGATACTCACTTTACGCAGCTGATTTCGTCGTAACTTCTTCAGTGCGAACGAGGCAGTTTGCCCCCCGCGGACATAAGACACTGGCATCCGCTTTCGGTGTATACTCTTGATCGGTACTGTGGTGAACTGACCCATCGGATCGGGACCGAGGAGTAAGTTGTCGTTCAATCGAATCACACCGCATAAACACGTGCCTGAGACCACATTACCAACCCCGGGCACGGAGAATATGTCATCGACTTGGAAATGTGCCGGTTCGTCCAGTCGAGGTTCAGCCCGGGGAGTGAGTAGATTGAGAAACAGTTTCAGCAGGTCCAAATTTTCCCCGGTCACATTGGACACGGAGAACACCGGACACATGCGTTCGGAGGTGAAGTTGGTGGCTGAGCAAATAACGTCATCCCTGTGTGCGCGGGTAAAGGGAATGGATGAGAGATGAGATTTGTGAGAATTAAAATAAACCCAGGCTTTGGATAACTAAGAAGACGGGGGTTAGTGAAACAGAACACTCGAGAAATAGAGCGAGATTGCGTTTATCGACAGAGGAAATCGGGAACTGTACCATTGATTCTCCTGGTAAAACACAATATTTCGGATGTTCCCAAATTTTATCAAATCAACCGAAGTGGTGCACATAATAACGTGTAACCTGGCCATAGAAGGTCTCCCCTTAGGTGTCGCACTTCTCAGCCAGCCATTTAGCGATGCAAAACTTGGTCATTGACAAACTAGCAAATAATGTCGCATTCAAAAAGTGACGTCTCATCGAGTGGGACAAACGCATGACACTGTTCACCGAGGATACTCTTTGTGAAGAACGCGCACAGGTGCACAATGTCATTTGACGTGGAAATACACAAGAGCCTATCTATTAGAGAGAAGAATGTGTTGGATATGCTAAAGCAATCTGGTCAGACTTAGAACTATATAGAAAAATCACATTGGAAATTCAAGGAGGATTGTTTGCAACACTATATCAAGCGAAATGAATGGGATGATCCAGGTCTCGTCGGAAAACAAGCTTTTTATTACATAAATTTGTGCGATGATCAGCATACTGGGTGGACTGCATAATTGCGAATACCTGCTATTAACTGACGGGAACCAAAAACCGAAACCAGAGAACTTGGAGTGGCGAACCACATGACGCCCCGCTGGGGTAGGTGTAGTACTGAATCAGACAACAGCAGAGCTGCCGGGGTTTGAAAGTCGAACACTAGGGTCCAGAACACGCTGGTGATATGTAACTGATAGACCGACAACCCAGGATCCTACGCACTAGGCGGCTACCAGACGGAGTTGTAGACTGAATACTCAAACTCAAACGAACAACCTGAATATGAAAACGTTAATTAAAGAACTCAGAGCGATAAAATTATTTGAAATTTTTAATGAACCTTGAGCCACCACAGATCTGGCGGAAACAGCGTAATTCATTAGTGGGCGTTAATGTTCAACTAAAATCATTGGCAGAACTAGATAATTTTTCCCGGTAGCGTCGATCGAAGTAAATCAACTCGAGCAGAACGGTATGATTTCCCCTACGGACGAACTCCCTTGTCCTGATAAAACTTCATTTTGTTCATCAAGTGATTAACCATGCGAAATCAGCGTTTAACTCACCAGTGAAGACGTAAAAACACTGCACAGCTCTTTCATCATTTTTATAAATCACTGACAGTGCATGGAATAAATGATAGAAAAACTTTAAGATAACCGTGTTTAACACCTGACTACTTGTGAGTAGCGAGCTACGACGAGGTTCCTTTTTGTTACGCTCATGTAACCTAACGCATGAATATTGTTTCCCAAATAGGAAAACAATTTTCGCCTATGGAGTTTGCCAGGAAAAAGATAAGATGATGTTATTTAAGCAACACCATCGAAGGGCTCATTCAAATTTAATTGATTCGTCAGGCACTTACGACGAACTGATCTAAATATCGGATGATCCAAGTAATTTTTCTACTTATCAAGCGAAACAACATATGACCCCTATGGGTTACTCCGTTGGGACTAAAACCCCCTCCAATTCACTATCATGAAACACCTGGTATTGCAGCTTTGGGATAACCACATGTTTATTTGGCCAACACCGGACTCTGTTGCGATTTGGTGATGATTAGACCGTAACAAAATAAAACCAACAACAAATAAATGATTTTGTCAGCTCTCGGGGAAGTATCGTAATAAAAACGGTCTGAAATATCTTAGGCGAACTGTAGTCCAAACATGACCAATGGAACATTGTCAACAGGGATGCCCTGAGAACAAACCCTCACAGCTGAAGGATGCTTTCTATCAAAATTAGTGACGAAGAGAAAAACGCACGCTATGTGATGCACACAAACACACAAGATAGACTGAAGGCGGGTAAAATCTCTGAATGCTAACTGTGATCTTCACCAGCTTGCGTATCGTCATTGACACAACTAATCTTGTGTTGAAGCATCTCTAGGGGCATTATTTTTTCTCTCTCGCGTTCACGACAAAGGCAAACGTGAAAGCATTTTTGTTTGTGGTGATGCATTCAATGGAATAGACGAGAAAAACCGATGCACATTTTAGCTGCAATAGGTATGCGATCTTAAGCTGGCGCTCAAATATGAAGGTATTGTGAAAAATGGTCAACATGACATGGTCTAACATGTCTGCTTTTTTTCACTTTGATGTGTTCACCGTCAAGCCTGATTAGTTCAAATCTCCAGTTGTCAAGAACGCCGACGATATTATGTTCAGTATCCATTCACAAATGACCACATCCGGGCTTAGGTTTTAAGTAATCCTGGGAAATTCGCAACCGACTCCGTTCATAATTTTAATATAAGGATTCTATTTTATCCCATTGTTCAAATTGTATACAAGTATTTTGAATCCTAACAAAACCATAATGATGAGGAGATTGATTGACCACTCTCAGACTCTCGTTCAAGTCTATAGAAGTGTGGCGTGCTTGCCGTTACGGTTGTGGATGTGCAAGAACACCACCGTCGTGCGCCAAACGGTTCCGTAATCGTCAAACCAAGAAAATCGGTATGATCGCATCAGCCATAGCTCTTCATCTTTGTGACAAGATTGAGCTGAACGCACACGTTCAGGACTGTCACATTGCGCGCGCGCACATACCCGAGTCGGTGTCTCAGCGATACACACACACGCCACAAAACGCTTTCGGTCGATACTCATTCACACCGTACTTTTGCTCCCTTACAAAATGATCAATTAAGACGAGAATGAACGAACCTACGTGACCTTCGTCAATGGGAGTTGTCGGCACTCAGCCTATCAAATTTCAATACAGTGGACTGAAAAATTTACAATGCGTTGCACCTCTCTCGAGATGGAATGAAAGGTTTGTAAAACATCAAAGTTATGCTGGGAAAGTCAAACACCAAATCAGATTGTGATCCAATCAGGTACATGACAGTTTACTGCACACTCGAAATAACATGCATGATTTGTGTCCACGATACACGCAGAAATGAGTAAAGTGCATGATCAATTAAGCCCGATCGATACATCCTATTTGGACGAGGTTTAGGGCACAAGATAGCCGCCTATCATTGACGTGAGCGAAACGAGTAAAAGTACACTACAGCCACAGAGTGACCGAATATTTTCATTGGAGATGATAACCGCTTCCTCCAAATTTTTTTTTCAAGGTGGGGGGCGATGATCTTGTAGATTCCATTACTAATTCAATGCGAAACATCTGATCAGACGAACGCATTCCATGATCATGAAACGAATCACTGACCGTTCTCATTTGTTGTAGCTGAAAAATCGTGCATCCTGTGCTACTGTACGATCAGTTCTTCCTTACGGTTGTGAGACCTTGAATTTTCCCCGTTCCTAAAATGAAGTCCAATCCCTGTCCTCCTAATACATTCTCACTTACCTTGTATGCAATATGAGTTTGGCAGAGATCAGTGAAGTTCGGTTCACTGCATTACGCTGTACAATGGTTATGATCACCTAAGAGGCATCCAAACAGGTAAAATTCGGGTTTTGGAACGAATTTCAACGAGGTGTTTATCATAGAACAAGCTTCAAAGAAAAATATTATAATCTACGGTTAGAGAAGCAAATCATCAGCACAACAGAACATATATACAAGCATTATTCCATTAGAGGAAAAATCTATTCCCCACATGGTGGAAACTACAAAGGCTAATGAACAGTGATGTGTACTTTTACCGTGTGACCTTAAAAAACCTTTCCAAATTTACTCCCGAAATCAGCTGATGGAAAACATCGCACACACATATTTGTCTTTGTGTGTGTGTGTGGGGGGGGGGGGAGGCAAATGAAACAAATGACATTCGCATAACATTGGAACACGGAGTACCGAAGGACACTTCTGATTGTTTTTCGTATTTAGTGAGAGCAGTATTGGCGGTTCAGAATAGTTGGGTTGTATTGAGAAGTAACACATGGGACGAACAACACAACTGACCAGAGTGAATGGAAAACGACTACGAATTACACATGTTCACGGCGGTTCTGGGAGGAATTAAGAACACGTAGAAAGCACAGGAAGATTGATACGGAGAACAAACACATGCATATGCAACACTGTGAACGCCTCTCAGAAGGGTATAACGAACGAATCAAAAAGCCGGGAGCGCAAATGAGACATCGAGTGTTCTCAAATGCAGCACTCTACCACAGAATCCTAAATAGGATGCAAGAGAACATCATGCCGACTAACTTTCTCAAACAAACTAGTTCTGGCGTTACTGAAATGCTTTTCACCAGGTAATGATTTGTTTGGTTCCTTTACATCATTATAAACATCAAAACAGAAAATTCACGCATGTCTACAGCGCCAATCATCTGATTACGAGTGAGCAGATTCAACTAGTGAAAAATTATTGTTTCACGTGAAACTGTTTTGGAGATTTGGTCTGTTGATGTTCACGTTTCAACTCTCTTCCCTCTTAGAGACACTACTGGTCGGTAATGGAAACCGGGAGTCTGAGAAGCGAACTGCACATGGACGCAATAGTGGCTAGATATGGAATTGGGTTAGACAACAGCAAAGCTACTTACCGCCAAAGCTGTTTTGTATTATCGGTTCAGGTAAACGGGGGACATATTGTTCCGTTATGAACAGTATTGTGCCACGATTTGTTTGGTCAAGTTTGAGCACGCAAAAGCATTTTAAATACAATATAATTTGAGTGTCTCCACAGTAAAACTCCATTTGAGCTTGAGGACAGTGCCATGATGTAGCGAATGTAGCTACCAACTATTGTCTCATTCCATCTATTCGACAACGCTTTCCAGAGCAGATGAATGAATCATAACGCCGCTGGTCACCGGTCTGCCGGGAGCTATATTCCGGCCTCAAAGGCTGC